TGTTACGCAAAATCTCACAATTAAATCTCACTATTCATTTGTAATTAATGATGCTTAAAAAATGTAATAGCGTATTTAATATTATACGATAAGAGATTCACTGATATTTCTGCTGAGGAAGTCAGCGGTGTTACATTGAAAAAAAAAAAGTGTACTGTGGAGTCAAAGAAGTATTGATACATGTATTAAATGTTTTGTTCTTTTTATACATATCACAGTTCAAACAGCGAAATATGTTCCACGTTCTACTTTCAGACACCTATCAAATGTCTGTTTGAATCCTCAGAGAGATTAAGCAGAAACCTATTTACCGATAATTAATTTCTCCTGAGAGCAGCAGTGTTATCTTTAGCCTAATTTCATTTATTACTGTTCTTCGCAAAATACATTGTTAGACTGTAAATTTTGACCTCTGCTTTTATTCAGTTTCAGTAGTGTCACCTGTGATTTTATGCCTGACTTTTTGTAACATGTGGACATAGACATATATGATGCATTTTTTCCTTTTTAGCTGGAAGGGTAGTGTAGAGGTTTATAGGCTGAGGTCTAACCCACCCTTTCACTACAAAGGAAGTAAAGAGGCTTGTTTAAAAGTATCTCAGCTAACATTCAGAGGGCTACTCAACTTTTCTATCTATGTGAAACAGCTGGTTAAAGTTTAACGATTTCACTGCTCCTATACCTAGGTCTTGCTTATGTCATGATGTTCAGTAATTATCCCAGCATTGACTAGTTGATTCATGGGTTAACTCACACTATATTTGAAGATCAGTTGGGGCACGCCTGCCGCTGGCATTACTTGACAGGGACAGTCGCCTAGACAGAGAGAAAGGCTTAGGACTATCGCAGTTTCTACTTTGTTTAGATTCTGAGCTCGCCTCCCCTGTAGAGTCAGGAGTGTCTGGTCGGCTAGAATTTTTTACATCAGCACTGGAAGGAGGTTGGGTTTTGTTTGCACTGCAACTGCTTTGTCTTCCGTTGCTGTTCTTTGGAAGTGAATTTGTTGAAGTTCCTGCACTCTCAACCATTGCTGAGCAGTTCCAAGATGAACTGATTCCATGTTGTCTTCTGAAACCAGTAACAGGAAAAGTTGTATCAGGTTGCAGCAAAGTTTGAGATGGCATTTCAGCAAAGCTTCTCAAGCACGTGCTCGAAGCTGTCTCTGCATTCTGAGTGCCAAGAAGGAAACATTTCTTTTCATCTTCTTTTTGAGCATCACGTGCTGCAGTCCCAAGCTCGCCAAGGAAGTCTTCATTATTATTTGTGCTAGTATTTTGAGTCTGATTGTCTAAAGCATTTGTAGCTGGCCTCTTTGGTGATTTATTTTCCTGATTGCAATGGGTGGAATTGCCACTGCTTTCTGTATGGTTGTTTTGCACCGGCTGAAACATGGGAGGAGAATTTAGAACTGGGTAGACCACAGTGTCAGTTTGCTTTTCCATTAAAAATGTATAACCGCCAAGTGCAGAAGGAAGAGTTTTTTGAGGGGTGGTGGATATTCCCAAAGAAGACTGTGGTATCACAGAGTATTTCTTAGATTTGTTTATATAGAAATTGTCAGGGTCATCCCTGTTTTTATTCTCCCCACAGAGTCCTATTTTAATTTTTCGGAATCCTAGGTGGATTATTTCTAGGATATTTAAAAGCAATGACACAGTCGCTATTGATTGCATGAATAATATAAACACCGTCTTTTCTGTTGGTCTAGACACAAAGCAGTCAACTGTGTTTGGACATGGATCTCTCTGACATTTATAAAGGGGATCTAGATGAAAGCCATAAAGAAGATACTGCCCAATCATAAAACTGACTTCCAGTGCAGATCTTGTGAAAATATGTATCACGTAAGTGCAAAGCAAAGAGCCTCTCAGGGGTGCTTTGTTTAGCTTTCTTTGATCGAGTTGCCGAAGTTCTCTCTCCAGCCTTTTCCGATTTTCAGTCATTTCTAATTCAGTGTTTTCGAGTTCCACTCTTACCTGAGCTTTCTTTTTTTGCCTCTCTTTTTCCAAGGCTCTTAGTCTATATAAGGCATGACCCATATACACCAAGGAAGGGGAAGACACAAATATAACTTGCAAGACCCAGTATCTTATGAGAGAGATAGGAAAAGCTTCGTCATAGCACACGTTTCTGCAACCAGGTTGCTCAGTATTGCATATAAATTCTGATTGTTCATCATTCCAAACATCCTCAGTCGCCACCCCAAGGACAAGCATTCGAAATACGAAGAGGATCGTTAGCCAAATCTTTCCAATAATAGTGGAATGAATGTGGACCTCCTCTAAAATGCCTCCAAGGAAATTCCAGTCTCCCATGGTTATTCTGCCATCTTAACACTAAAATGTAGGAGAGAAAAAATTATCGAACATTGTAAAAGCTGCAATCCTTCCTTAACACATTATGAAAAAAATGACACCGGGAAAACCATCATATCTCACATTGCAACCATGGCAACGTGACCCACTGCTCATGGATAATCTGGGTATTATTCTCTCTCATCTACAAGATAGAGAAGTGCATCATCTGCCCATGGATGAAGAAATGAACGATCTCACTAAAACTGCATTGTTAAATTTAAAAATATGTTTAAGCATATAATTTGGCACAGACAATTGCTTTTTGTTTGCAAATGTCAATGATAAACAAATAAATAGAATCACTATAATCGGTACAGTTTTCTCTGATCAATGAGACCTGCATTTGAAATACAGAATGGATTGCCTAAGTGTCACATGTTGCTATCTTTGGCCCCAGTTCTGTGAAAATTAAATTATTTAGGCAAAAATTATCTACCAGCATTTTCCTAAATGATTATCAATCGTCTGCGTACAGATAAACTGGTAACATTTGTGTGTATTGCACATCTCACCTTTCTTTTGTATGTCTTTCTCCATTACAGAATACCACATTGTGGACTAGATTTTAAATTCCTTTTCAGTGTTTATGTTATTGCATACACTAACAAAAATATTTTTCTTTTTTTATGTGCCAGGATAACCAGCACATCTGTAGATTTACCTTTTCATTGCGTATACAGTACAATTCAATAGAATCCAGTTATACTAAAAACAGAATAATGTGATTTTTTTTTAGGATAAAGGTGGTTTGGCACAGTGTTTTCTGTTCAAATGGGATTCATTTTCACCCTGTAAAGCAGGAGTGTTAAGAAATCAAATGGAAGTTGCAGTCTTACAGATGCAATACTGATGACTATAGAGGAAACTTTATGTTAAGGCAGCCTACTAAACATGAAAATCCTCTTGCAAATCGGTATTCAAATAGGCAAGTTAGACATTTTTTAAAGATAAACAAATTAAAAATAAACAGCAAATTAAAAATAAAACATACCTTTCTTTAAAAAAGTGTGTAAATTTAAAGATCAGCATCTGATAAAAAGTGGCATCCTTCCATCTTCTGTCCGTGTAAGTAAATTTCACATTACAAGCGGTTTATTTCGCTGCAGGAGCAACTGATGGAGCACAAGCTTTGCATTGAATTTATATTTGCTAGGGATGGAGGGAGGAGAAAATCAATCTGTTGTTCAGTCTACTGCTCCAAGCATAGTTTAACTATAACAGGTGAAAGAATCTAATTTTTAAAAGCTAGAAATGAAAAATCTGCAGCTCTAACTTCCTTTGGATTATCTTCTCTTTTGCCTCTCCAGCACCTTCCAAATTTTAATAATGATCTCAGTCTCAGACAAACAGAATAAAAGAAAGTCATTAGCATTCCCGTCTAAGTATTGGACATACTAAAGATGTCAGTCATTCTTCTTGAGAGACTTATGCACTTACATATAGTCCATAAAAACGGACCAGGTGACACAAGTCCCCTTTTTATACCAGGCTTTCAGCTACCCCTTCTTATTACCTCAGCAGGAAGAATACCAAGAATAGGCTGAAATATTTTCCAGTATAAAACAGCACACCAACTGCCTAGTCTCAAAGAACAGGAATTTTCTAGGTGTTCAGGAATGCAAGGACCACACATACTAATTGATATAATTGTTCACAGGTTACAACCTATTGTTGTTAACTTTTCCTTTTAAATTCCTCCCTTTCTTATACCTTTTATAAAATCAGATGGATTGTTGCAGCAGAGTCGTCCTGCGACTCAGGTGAATAAGTGGATTTGTCCTACTGAAGAACCTGCTTACGTACAGTAAAAGATTTCGTAAAGCTCTATACTCTACATCTCCCCATGTCAGTGTGCAGCAGAATTAGAAACAGAACCCACGGTCGCACCTGTACTCCACAAACTTATCATTCTCTGTGTCTCACTGGAGGAGAATAAAGATGGAGCTACTGGAACAGAATAGGAACTCCCTGTCCTTTCACCTAGTTTGAAAAAGAAAAGGTTAATATGGGCGAGGAGAAAGTGGAAGAATGGCAGTGGAAGTTCTACAGGCTAAAGGTACATAGAATCATAGAACGGTTTGGGTCGGAAGGGACCTTAAAGTACCACCTAGTCCAAATCCCCTGCCATGGGCAGGGATATCTTTTGCTAGATCGGGTTGCTCAAAGCTCCATCCGACCTGAGTTTGAGCACTTCCAGTGATGGGCCATCCACAGCTTCTCCAGCAACCTGTTCCAGTGTCTTCACTACCCTCATTGTAAATAATTTCCTCTGCTTACATAAAGAGACTAAAAGTAAATGCTGTCTTTAAAAAGTCCACCCGGCACTCAGGGATGGATCACAGCTTGTAAGCTGAGCTGATGCACAAAATTTTTTAGAGAGAGCTTAAAATCCACTTGAACTTTTTTTTGAGCTGATCAGATTGCTAAAGTGCATTTTAAGGACTGATGGTAGTCTGGGGAACACCCTTTCAAACACTGTAAACTTCAGGAAATGCCTACAAAAAGTGTTGGGGAGAGGTTTTTGAAAGAGACCTCCTTTTAGAAAAGGGAAGATGGGGAAAGAAATATGCTTGTTTTGTGTACATAGGTTGTCCTGGAGCCAGCATTAGCAATTCAATGGCCAAGGATATGGCCTTGTTAGGCATGCCTGGAATTAATGTGTAACTCCATCACTAGGATCAGTGTGAGTTAAGAAGCATATTTAGCACTAATGCTCTTTTAGATGGTCCTCAGTGCCCTGCAAAAGCATAGCGCTGAACCAAGTGTCCTGCATAGGATAAATAAACTTCCTCTGCTGAGAACTCTAAAAAGCTAATCATTATTTTTTAATTTTGGTGCTGAGGATCAGTCAATAGGTCACGTCCGATTTCATACTTAAATGACAGCTTGCCTGGAAGTATTCGATCATTTTGGCAAGCTATTAGTCTACAGCCAGCCATTTCTATTAAGTACTTAAAGCAGGTTTCCAAACATACATTTCTTCTATCAAGTACTTAAAGTAGGTTTCTAAACATGTTTTCTGCTATTGTGAAAAAAATTCTAAGTCTGTTGAAGTGGTCCAGAGACTCCCCCACCCCGCCTCCTGCAAAGATACTGAAGCTTTGTTTGAAAATCCTAAGTGTTTGGTGACACTGAACTATGACGTCTGGGGATCTACCTGTTCTGTAAAAGATAAATGTTAAGACGAACATTTAACAATCTGCACATAATGTTCCGGGATGCATTATCTCATTTAAAATTGTATTTCAGTCAAATGACAAGAAGTCAGGAGGGAAAATGAGTTTGAGTGCCAATGACAATTTTATAGTGCCAATGCTGCTGTTTACCTTATTCCAGACATTTTGTGGATATGACTATTTACAGAAACTGTCATACCAACACGCAGTGTTTATTAACAAAATACTTAGTGATGCAAGGAGAGAATACTCATTTTTCTTCCAGGTCTAGAAGCTACCTCACTGGCTTTCCACTGGTGGTGGGTTTGCTGCAAAATGGATATCCCGCCCCCAAATTTAAAAACTATATTATATTTTCTTAGCTTCAGGGTCAAATGCCACAGAAATCATTCTATCCTGGAAATAATCTCTGAAGATCAAGACCTTTTTCATTCCTACTCATCAATAATGTGCACTTTATGTGTACAATTGATTTTTATTTTCTACTGTATTTCTCTGACCCACAGTGACCAGCCAGATAACTAGAGGCACAAACATCAGTGTGTCCTACAGACTGTCAGAGTAATGTGGACTCACTCCCATCGTTTTCTCTCAGTACTGAAGTTAGGATCACCAATGATAAACTGCAATAATGAGAAATTCGGACAACTGTACTACTCAATGTTGTCTTTAGGACCGACAAATCCTGTGGTGCTGTGTTCAAAGGCAGACTAGAGAATACCATATAAAGACTGAGGCACACACTCTTCATGTTCGCCTGTTTTCTGTGCTGGCTTAATAGATTCACTTTTGATTGCTAAGATATACGTGCAAATCAGTCGATGCAGATTGTTTTTTTCACTTTCATGTGTGAAATTTCTGAAGATTCCCTGGCATTCATCCAAAAGGTTTAAGGTGGTTTTTTGGTCACTAATTAGCTATTTTTAAGCTTAGATTGTGTGCCATGTTTCCACTTGGGACTTCCCTTTTCCCT